GAACACCTTTCTCTTGCCTAACACTTAAGACATTGCTCAGGATCCCCTAGGAGATGTCATCTACAACTTCTTTATCAGAGCTCACCTGAATTTACAGACCATCTCAAGAATAGATTTAACACATTGAACACTAATGACTGAAGACCAGACAATTTGTGGAATGACATCAAGGACATCATACATGAAGAAAGCAAGAGATCATTAAAAAGATAGGAAAGAAAAAAAAGACCAAAATAGATGCCAGAAGAGACTCTGAAACTTGCTTTTGATGGAGTAGCTAAAGCATGGAAGAAATATGAAGCAAAAGAGCTGAACAGAAGATTTCAAAGGGTGGTTCGAAAAGACAAAGTAAAATATTATAATGACATGTGCAAAGGCCTGGAGTTAGAAAACCAAAAGGGAAAAACATGCTTAGCATTTCTCAAGCTGAAAGAACTGAAGAAAAAATTCAATCCTCCAGTTGCAATATTGAAGAAAACCCTGGTGGCGTAGTGGTTAAGGGCTACGGCTGCTAACAAAAAGGTCAGCAGTTCGAATCCACCAGGTGCGCCCTGGAAACTCTATGGGGCAGTTCTACTCTGTCCTATAGGGTTGCTATGAGTCAGAATCAACTCATTAGCAACGGGTTTGGTTTTTTTGGGTTTTGGTGGGCAAATTACTGAACAACGATGCAGGAAGCAACAAAAGAAGATGGAAAGAATACGGTCACTGTATCTAAAAGAATTGGCCAACATTCAATTGTTTCAGAAGGTAGCATATGATGAAGAACTGATGGTACTGAAGCAAGAAGTCCAAGCTGCACTGAAAACACTGGTGACAAACAAGCCTCCAAGAATTGATGAATTACCAGTTGAGATGTTTCAACAAACAGAAGCAGTGCTGGTGGTACCCACTTGTCTATGCCAAGAAAGTTGGAGGACAGCTACCTGGCCAACTGACTGGTAGAGATTTATATTTATGCCTATTCCAAAGAAAGGTGATCCAACAGAATGTGGAAATTATTAAACAATATCCTTAATATCATACACAAGTAAAATTTTGCTGATGATCATTCAAAATCAGTTGCAGCAGTAGAGAGGCAGGGAACTGCCAGAAATTCAAGCCAGATTTAGAAGAGGACATGGAACAAGGGATAGCATTCCTGATGTCATATGTATCATGGCTGAAAGCAGAGAATACCAGAAAGATGTTTACCTGTGTTTTATTGACTATGCAAAGGCATTCGACTGTATGGATCATAACAAATTATGGATAACATTTTGAAGAATGGGAATTCCAGAACACTTAATTGTGCTCATGAGGAAACTGTACCTAGACCAAGAGGCAGTCATTCAAACAGAACAAAGGGATATTGCGTGGTTTAAAGTCAGGAAAGGTGTGTCTCAGGGTTGTATCCTTTCACCATACTTATTCAATCTGTATGCTGAGAAAATAATCCGATAAGCTGGGCTATATGAAGAAGAACACAGCATCAGGATTGGAGAAAGACTTATTAACAATCTGCATTATGCAGGTAATACAACCTTGCTTGCTGAAAGTGAAGAGGACTTGAAGCACTTACTGATGAAGATCAAGGACTACAGCCTTCAGTATGGATTACACCCCAACCTAAAGAAAACAAAAATCCTCACAACTGGGTCAATAATCAACATTATGATAAACAGAGAAAAGCTTGAAGTTGTCAAAGATTTAATTTTACTTGGATCCACAATCAATGCCCATGGAAGCTGCAGTCAAGAAATCAAATGACATATTGCATTTGGCAAATCTGCTGCAAAAAACCTCTAAAGTGTTAAAAAGCAAAGATATCACTTCAAGGACTAAGGTGCGCCTGACCCACGCTGTGGTGTTTTCAATCTCCTCGTATGCATGCAAAAGCTGGACAATGAATAAGGAAGACCAAAGAAGAATTGACACCTTTGAATTATGGTGTTGGCGAAGAATATTGACTATACCATGGACTGCCAAAAGAGTGAACCAATCTGTCTTGAAAGAAGTACAGCCAGAATGCTCCTTAGAGGCAAGGAATGCAAGACTTGGATATACTTTAGACATGTTATCAGGAGGGACCAGTCCCTGGAGAAGGACATCATGCTTGGTAAGGTAGAGAGCAAAAAAGAGGAAGACCCTCAATGAGATGGACTGACACAGTGGCTGCAACAATGGGCTTAAGCATAACAATGATTGTGAGGATGGCGCAGAACCAAGCAGTGTTTACTTCTGTTGTACATAGGGTTGCTATGAGTTGGAACCGACTCGATGGCACGTAACACAACCTTTCAATGAGATACAAGGCTATATGCATTATGCTCTTCATCAGGGTACAAAAGGAGCTCAAGACCTTAAAAATGGACCTCAGGTATATTACTAGTAAACCAAACACTAACTATTTGAAAGCATAGCGTACTCATGCTGCTGAGCTAGAGAAGAATAGAGTTTCCAAAAGTAGATAAGAGAATAACAATAAGCAGGAGGTGAGGCTAATTGGTTCTGTGTTTTACAGTTAGAGGGAGGCTGCTAAAGGAGTTTTCTCACGCATAAACAGCAAAACCAAGCAATTCTTTGAATTCAAGCAAGAAAAGCCCAAAACCAAGGCAACGCCGCTGTGTGTCTAAGTTGCGCACTCCAGACCATCTATCCCAGTGTTCTCTCAACAAGTGACTTTGGGGGAGAAAACATAGAAGTAAAGAGAAAAAACAAATTGCAAACATATAAGAAATCAATCCTTCCTTGAATCTCTAGGTCCTTAGAACTGGCCCATAAAATCTCCATAGTAGGGAGTTTAGCCAGCATGACTCCTTCATAGCACCACCTCCCCTCTGTGCCATCCTATTAGAATGGGATGAAGTTTTAAACTTCTGCAAACCCAATGTACTATTCTAATAAAGGCTTGTGAAATGAATAAAATTTTACTCCCAAGAGTGCGCTGGAAATAGCTCTCATCAGCTTGCAGTAGCTAATTGTTATTTACAATACTCAGAAATTTTATGAGCTGGTTGTTCAACCATTGGTAGCTTGAAATTGGCCATGGTGAGAATATTTATACCAGGGAAGTCAGAAACTACAAATCAGGACTTTTTTGGGGGGTGGGGGGGTTGCCAGCATACTATTGTATATAATTTTTTTGGAAATTTTTCAGAATTAATAGCACTTTAATTAACGTTTTTTTTAAAGATAACCCCTGGAAAACACTGATGCTGGAGGACTGAACCCATGCCTGTCTGAAAGGGTAATTGTGACATGCCTAGGTTTTACTGTATTAAATTGTAACGTTTCATGGGATATAATTTAATCCAAAGGTTAATGAAACTCATATAATATACGCATGCATGATTCAACACTTAACCCAAAATGAGAGTTCCCATAAGAACTCTTCATGAACCAAATCACACCTTAATGAGCATTCGTGGATGATCACTGTTTCTATTACCTTGTGAGCCTAGTAACAGCTCACAGCTCATTTAGTAGTTTTTTCCGCTCAGAGTAAGTGAACTGGTCTCAGTAAAGACAGCACTGTCTGTGGCTTCGTGTCTGATCTTGTTATCACCCCACACACACACACCCTATAAAACTCAGGAAATGCATGTGTTCGCTCTTCAACTCTCCTTGTAGCTAAGAAATAAACACCAGCCCATGGTAAAGGGGCAGGAAATGGATGTTATGATGTCTTTCCTTAGGTCAGTTCTTCCAGAATCAAGAGACTAAACAGAGGTTCTACTTACATTTTACCAGCTAGACAAACTACAGATCCTTTTTGCAGAAATAGATGTATATGGGTCTGAATTACTTGGCTAGTTGCAAAATCAATCATTATTCTTTTGTAAAGAGAATGGTTAGTTTAAACTACATGGCCCAAGAACTCAGACATCACTCAGATATGCAGGAAGGCCTCTTTGGGATTCAGTCCTAATGTCAAGACTTGGAAATTATCTCCATTTCTGACACTTACTCGCTGTCCTTGGCTTAGTTTGATGTGGACCAATAGCACATGACTAACGTATTCACGCATTCATTCATTCATTTATTCAACAAATATTTCTTGGCTGCTTGCGTTGTGCTAGGTGCTACAGGACAAAGAATACATATAACATAGAGGATACCACAAATTTATATGAGATTAAGTGATAAGGATTTTCTTCTATTATTTGAGGAAAACATTCAGTATGAAAGCTGTGTGTCCTCTGTTTTGGTTCTTCTTCTTCTTCTTTTTTTTTTTATGATTTGAAGCCAATAAATTATCTTTAATAAAACCAAATACTAAGTGTCAAAATTATTTCTCTGCCTCCATTCTTCTACTCTGAGTTACACAGTCCCAGAGTCACAGTCCTGCAGCCTAAAAAAAAAAAGACCCTAGAAATGAACAAATCTGAATAAAAATTGAAATGATAACCCAAAGTACTTAACATTGTACGTCTTCAGGATCCTGAAGCTCAGAGCCAAAGAGACATTTTGTAACTGGTACAAAGTCAGAGTATGAAGAAATCTGGACGTGTTCTTATAAAGTGGTAGCCTTATTGACTAGGTAAAAAAATCTGACCATATTTGGCAAAGCTGCCCCATTAAGTCAGTGTTGGCATCACTATTTCTTTCACAAAAATGATACTCCATGCTGATTTAACCTCATTTCTTCATCATTGTGTCTGTTTGAGAAAGGAGAGCTGACTTCTGAGATGCTCTAGGAAACAGAGACGAGAATGGGGGCTGTGTTGAAAACTAATCCTTCCACCAGCCAGCCCCACACCCAGGAAGGGCCATTTTCAGCCCAACCCAGGAGCACAGATTAGAGTTTCTCAGGCTGGAGGGACAGGAGGATCATGATCCAGCAATTTTCCTCTGAGGTAATCGCAGAAGCAGAGAGGCATTTATGGTACTCCTGAGGCACAGCATTTTAATGGGTTATGCATTACCCTCCCTCCTCTTCACTCAAACCTTTTAACACAACGGCTCATAAGAAACAAAACAAACTGATTTCTATGTTCCCATCTCTCTTAACCACTTACCCATCTTGTGGGTGTGCTGATGAACTGTGGAAGCAACATCTTTGGAAGGATAGAGGCCTGGAAGAGCTGAGCTGTAATTTCAAAGCAGTCCTAAGATGGTAGAGAATTGGCTGCATGTAACATAGGCCCAAATATGTGAGGAAACAAAAACATCATACATATGGTGAAAAAACAACCACTCTCTCACTATGTTTTCAATGTAATACCGTCCTTATGAGAAAATAAGTTTAGAACAAAAGTAAAGAAGCTTTTCAAGTGCATTTTGTTCTCCACATCTAAAAATTAACTTTACAAACCATTTTAAAATTAGAATTAATTTAACAGAATGTAAGGCTTTGCTCTGATTTTTTTTTGTTGTTACTTTAAAATTTCACCAACATGAACATATGAGTGATTGTCTTTTTTCAATTAAACTTAATCTGGAAAATGTGTCCTCTTGACAATTTTTAAGAGAAAAATGAATAATGTGATGAAGAAGAATGACCATTTGTATCTGAAGGCATACATTTTTATAACAAATGCTAGCTAGCCCTTCTGACATTGCTAGTATCCTTTTTAATGCAAAGAAAAATATTTGTTAGTAATGACTTTAATCCTTTAATTAAAAATACCATGAAAAGTAGTGGTGGAGAATATCAGAAGAAACTATGTAAGTAGCCTTTAATAAATCTGCTCCCTTATTCTCATTTCAAGCATTCGACTACCACCCAAAAGGTTGAGGATTTGAACCCACCCAGAGGAGTCTCAGACGAAAGGCCTGGCAATCTGCTTCCAAAATCTGCTATGAAAACACTACGGCGTGCAGGACTGCTCTGTACACATGTGGTCACCATGAGTAGGAATCAACTCTGTGGCAGCTGGTTTGTTTTTTTTTTTTTTAATTCTCGTTTACCTTCTTGTACTAATTCTCCCATCTCCAAATAGATGGATTATTTAATCAAAAAAAATGTGGACACCTATTATGTGCACTGTTTCTGGCGAGGGGCCATTGCTATGAATAAAGCAAAGTCTCTGCTCTCATAAAGCTCACTGTCTGTGACGATGCCAACCAAAATTCTGCAGGTTGCATTTATACAGGTAAAACAATGACAAAGGTTCTAGTTCATGACTTCGTCCCGTTAGTATCCCGGAGACTCCATGAAAGCTTATTTCCATTCAGCAGGACTGCTGCTGCTAATAGCTCTGATTCTCCTGGGTTTTATTCCCTGTGAAAATTAATACAATATAAGGGACAAAAAAATAGAGAATCAGTGGGGAACACTCCATTTAATTTAGAGAGATTTTTAAAATGTGCAATAAAGGCACGATTTCATTAAGAGGAAGTTTTCAGGAGGGATTTCACAGAGGGCAGGAACTGGAGTCCCCAGGGTGGGGCACAAATAAAGGAGACTTTCATAGCCCAAGGTTATGTGATATAGGAGAGAGAAATAAAAACCAGGAAGGGAAACAGCCGTTCAAACTTGCAGCAAAGAAGAGAACCGAAAGAAAAGGAGAAGCAGATGAAAGTCAGTGGAGGACATGGAATTTTAGAAAATAATGTTTTTGTTAAAGTCACTAAGTAAAGAAAAGGCATAATAATAGTAGCTAATGTTCTTTTCCACTACCCGTTTGTCAGTTTATTGTACTGTGGTGGTTTGCATGTTGCTGTGATGCTGGAAGCTATGCCACTGGTATTTCAAATACCAGCAGGGTGATCCATGATAGACAGATTTCAGTGGAAATTTTTCCTTTCAGAGCCCTGGTGGTGCAGTGGTTAAGTGCTTGGCTGCTAACTGAAAAGTCAGTGGTTCGAACCCACCAGCCACTTCGTGGGAGAAAGATGAGGCAGCCTGCTCCAATAAAGATTTCAACCTTGGAAAACCTGTGGGGGCAGTTTTCCTCTATCCTATAGGGTTGCTATGAGTCAGAATCAAGTCAACAGCAATGAGTTTGGGTTTTTTAGTATTGAACCTGGGTGGTACAAGTGATTAACATGCTCAGCTGCTAGCCAAAAGGCTGGAGGTTCAAGTCCACCCAGGAGCACCTCAGAAGAAAGGCCTGGCAATCTACTTCAAAATAATCAGCCTTTAAAATCCTTATGGAACACAGTTCTACTCTGACACACATGGGGTCACCATGAGTCTAAGTCAACTTGATGGCAACTGGTTTGTGGTTTAGTATTAAACCACTGAGATTTAAGAGTTGTTTGTTACAGCAGTTATTACTTACCCTGATTAATATAATGACTGAGGTTGATAGTGATTCTATTAAAAGGTGATTTTATCAGTATTGTTTGAAACAATTAATAATAAGAGTTAAGATGGGAGACAGAACACTAATTAGAATAAACTGATGGGCATTGCTCAATTGATTCAGTCATTGTATCATTCTCTAAAGGCAGGAAGTTTTTTGCTGTTAACACATCCTCTTTTTTCTGGAAAAGCTCCTTGTCATTTGTAAGTGTAAAGGAGAAAAACAACCGAGTGGTGATTGGCTTTTGTGGTAGAGCACACACTTGTTCCTCGTTCTTGGTGACAGGCAACCTAGGCTAAGGAAGAACCTGTACACCCTTGGAGGCTGAGGAGCTTAGTTAGCCCAGAGCTGGTGCAACAACCAGTCTCCTAGTAGAGACAACCTGAAACTGGGCCAGCAGGGAGGGACAACACTGAAACAGTGCCCTTTGTGTTCGGGTCCCCTTCTCCTCAAGTCTCCCAGTTGCAGAGGGGTCAGAGGCCCTGACACACACAATTCTAGACAACTGTCTCTTTACTCAGATATTTAAACCACCCAGTCACTGCTGCTACTTCTAGCCCTTTGGGGGGCGTAAGGAGAAAAGATATGTGGGACTGGGACTCTGATGCTCCATCAACCACTGTCTTAGTCATCTAGTGCTGCTGTAACAGAAATACCACAAGTGGATGGCTTTAACGAAGAGAATTTTATTCTCTCACAGTCCAGTAGGCTACAAGTCCAAATTCAGGGCATCAGCTCCAAGGGAATGCTTTCTCCATAAGCTCTGGAGGAAGGTCCGTGTCATCAATCTTCCTTTGGTCTGGGAGTTTCTCTGCACAGGAACCTCAGGTCCAAACGACGCGCTCTGCTCCCGGCACTGCTTTCTTGGTGGTATGAGGTTCTCATTTGTCTCTGCTCACTTCTGTCTTTTATATCTCAAAAAAGATTGGCTTAAGACACTATCCAATCTTGTATACTTCATCAGTATAACTGCCACTAATCCATCTTATTACATCATAGTGATAGAGTTGACACCACATAAGGAAATCACATCAGATTACAAAATGGTACACAATCATACAGTACTGGGAATCATGCCCCAGCCAAGTCAACAGATATTTTTGGGAGGCACAATTCAATCCATGACAACCATGAAATGCTTCCCAAACTGCATTGGAAGATATTTCTCTCTTCCTACATAAATATACATGGTAAGTGACTTGGGTGCAGTAAGGGAGAGGCAATTTGGTGATGTTAAATGCAGAACTAGGGAGAAAATATGATGGAGGTGTGTAGCTATTGCCTACTCCTCTGTTCTCCCACCTAAAGATCCCTGAAATGTCTTTCTGGATTCACTTCCATCATTGGGATGGGAGTAAAGACTCATGGAAAGATGGAAGCCTGCAAGCCTAGGTCCCTGGACAGGATAGGACCCAAACATTCTCTGAAGGTGAATAGAAATGATCTTGTCAAAAAAAAAAGGGCAATCTTTGAACTCTCTATCTTTAGCCACTCAGGATTGGCTGTTGCTCAAACACTGCAGTTATTTAGGCTGGCAGGTCCCAGTTTAATTTTTTAAAAATGCAACCATCTTGTGTGCTCTGCAAAAGCCATGAGCCAACTGGTATCCTGAGTGCTTCCCCAGCACCAAAGGTTTCTTGACTTCGTCTTAAGACAGTCCAATGAATATCCCTAAGAGAGAAGTGTGATTTATTTCAATATTGTCCATAAGAAGATGTAAATACAATAAAATTATAGAACTTTGAAACTAAAGAGCTATCCTAGTGAAACTTTATTTCCTCATTTGTAAAATGAGTGCATTGCACTAGAACATTTCTAAATATTCTTCCAACTGTAAAAGCTATGATTATGCATATGTGATATGTGTGTATGTGTGTGTGATGACATATAACGTAAAAGGAGACAAGGTCAAGATGGCAGAGTAGTCAGACACGTCCTGTAGTCCCTCTTACAACAAAGACCCGAAAAAACAAGTGAATCAATTATATATGACAATTGAGGAACCTTGAACATAAAAGGCAAAGTTGAGGAATCGGACTGAGTGGCAGGGGAGAGAGACAATTCGGAAGCAGTGAGGAGTTGCCAGACCTGACCCGGTGAGAACCACCACCCTGCATGCTGGATAGGCTGGCATGCATGGTGAGGCAAGCAGTGATGCTTGGGACACGTTTTCCACATTGGAAGAGACCAAGCAGCAGAGAGTCTACCCAAGCCTCCAGAACCAGTGAAAAGCTGTGTTCAATTGGCAAAAGATAAGTACCTGCATCTAACCCACCACTCAGATCAAAAAACACCCCATTTGGGAAGAACCTCTCTCCCATTTACCTCCTCCTCCCGACTCTACACCGGTTCCTGGGCCAGCTTCAGTGAGTGCCACATCCCCCGGGCTGGAAATAGGACCTGTCATGCTCCCTGAGCCATTCTCCTGGCCTTGAAGAGGGAACAAATTAACAAACAGGAAAAAATAATCTGCCAGCTCCCCTAAGCTGGGAACTCAGGGCAGGCACAGCTCCTTTGCCTAGGCAGAGGCATAAGGGGTCCACGAACTTTGAACACCCTATACACCTGCGTAGAACTGTGTGGGCCCATTTCAACAGCATAGGCCCCTATTAGCACAATACAACAGGGTATATACCTGAAGCCTAACTTCAACTGTATCAGCTACATGGTGGAGTGGCAGGTTCATGACATTTGACACCACTCTGCCCATTAAGCAGGGTTCTCACCTACCCACATCAGGGACCTGAGAACTGGTGGCTCCACCCATGCCACCTAGCCACCTGCAACAGTGGTCCAAGAATAAGTTGTGCCTCCAAGTCCTTCCAGGAACAGCATTGGGTGCCCATAGTCTGGCTGCAAAACCCACCCACCTATGCACTCTAGGGAAGAGGGACATGCTTTCCTCCCAGACACTCAGGGTCAGCTGTC